GAATGAATAATTTAAGGAAAAACTCTTTTTAACTATACATTGGAAAAATAAAATAAAAATGTCATTATCTTCAAAAACAACTATCTTTAAGATAACATTTAAAAAAGTCTTGTTGATACATGAGACATAATACAATGCAGTATAAAAGAATTATTTGAACATTAAATACAAAATTACAACAGGGACAGTATTATACGTCCCTGATTACAAGCGTTATAATAATGCCAGTAAGGCCAAATATCTACATTATATGAAACAAGAAATTTCACCCCACAAGAAAACTGCATTAGATCAAATTTCAAACCGGAAAGATCTCCAAAATATCTACAATATTATTAGTAAGTTATAAATATAAAGACACAATTAAAATATCACTTTTGTACAGTCATAATTATCTCCCTTTGTTATGTGTTGTTTTGCTATGAACATTTTATACATGTATAATTAAACATATGGTTAAGACTTCACTAACCTCGTATACCCACTACTTGGCCAGTGTTATTCAAAACAAACAAGTAAGCAATATTATAACTCAAAACTATTCCACACGGAGGACTTCAATCAGTTATAATTCAAAGGGAGGTAACTGACCCCACAAAAATGAGTGTAATGCTTCTCTAAAATAAACCAAACTTGTTTCTATATTGAACAATAGAATGAAGATTAAGTCTCCCACACCTCTTACCCTTAGTTATCTAGACATTACTGGTAAAAAAACTCTACGAATGTCTCTTCATATATCATGTAATATACACCCGAAGTCTAGTGTTTACTTATTTCAGCCAGTGTCAACAGATTTAAGACATCAAGTCTTTACTTCAAGATAGCATTGTGACATGACATCACGTCAAGCTGGCAGTAGTGACGACTAGACAAAAATCACACATACAATAACTGTTGAAATTGGTCCATCTCAAATAAAATAAAAGCAATTTGTTCCAAATTTCTTTTTCACTCATTAAAATGATTTTAATTTATCTAACATCAAGAAGATGTGTTTTGTATCATTTTGGCTTGTAAAATGTCTAATTAACTAATAACTGTGTATTTCATGTATAGGTTTCAATTAAAAATTCATTTCATTGCATATTTCACAAAATATGAATGTAAACATATAAAAAAATGTTATTTTTGTGACTTTAAAATTCACTGTAAACATATAAATACATAATATTTTTTTCTGTTTAATGACTGTGTTTAGGAACCCACTGTAACAGGGAAACACAATAGACCACAATCCTGATTCCTCAACAATGAAATTTCATAACACTGATAAAATCTTTTGAGGAATTATTATTTTCAGATAACATAGAGAAGATTTAAATATCAATTGTGTATACTGGTCCATATGAATATAATTATGTTTTGCCTGTTACAAGCATTTTAACCTGAAAAATCATGTTTTTTTTAATGCTCAGTTTTTATTCCAATACTGACAATATAAAATTCTTTCTATTCTCCTAATTGATTACTACTGAATACACTTCACTGCTGATCTAATACATCCTGGTAATGTTCGATTGCACTGGCTAAAATATCTTTGGTTATAATAATTTCAGTCATAGACAAGTTTATAAACATGTCTTTAATATAAAGTAAAGGTGCTCTTCCATAACTTGTGAATACATTATTTAATTAGGTGATATATTCAATCATAATGAAAATTGTTCATGGTCCATACCTAAATTAAAATTGTTTGTGCACATATCTTTTCTATGTAAAAGATTATTGCTGCAGATGTGATTTCACTAACATATTTGTGTGCCATTCTGTGAATGTTCATTTCTCTGTGAAATCAAACAGTAGATTTAATTGAATAATCAATACTAATATTACGATATGCACTGAAACATATAATTTTACGGTGATTTATTTTGGCACAGTAACGAATAAGAATTCCCATAAAGAAATATTGGATATTGCTAAAAAGAGAAAGAAAGAGTAAACAGAGATGTCAAAAGACAAAAAAAGGACACTTTGAAGAATGAAGGTCAAGAAGAGGTGTATAAGGAAACAAGTTGAAAGATTGAATTGACAAAAAAAGTAGCATCAAGGTAAGAAATTAATGAGGACAGCTGTAGGCAGAATGTCCAGATGGAAGATCTACGTTACACGTTTTTACAGTGTGACAAGTACATGGTCAAAGATAAGGGATAATGAGTTCAAAATACAAAGTCAAAAGCAAAGACAAGAAGCTAAGAGGTAAAACCAAAAGTTCAAGGTAAAGGAGGCAGCATGCAGCAATTAAACCATATGTACAAGAAACAAAGAGATCAAATCCCCAATAGAAGATGTGAGGAGTTTCGGGAGGAGCAAAATCAGTGCTACATCAATCTACAGGCAAGACAACATTGACACACAACAGGTACTACATTAGTCCACAGACAACATCGACACACAGAGGTACAGCTGGCTTAAGTGTATCCTAGTTCATCTGGAATCCAACAATTGAAACAAGGACGTTCCTATCATTGTGACTGTCACACAGTCATGTAGTGGTTTTGGTTGTAGCACACGACCAAACCTGCTACAGATGATTACATCAACTGTTATATAGGATTGACCATGTGATGCTAAACAACCACCTTAGTTTTTAAGTCTAGAAAACCAATATTTCCATGTTTACATACAAACTAATTTTATGACATTCCATAACAGTTATCAATTAAAAAAAATCAAGTTACCTATCACCAATAAAAATGTGATGAACAGGTTATCGTACATAGTTTTAAAACTCAACAGACATCAATTAGAAAATGAGTAATATTTGTCAGAGATTGCAAATTCTTCATAGTTCTACAAAATTGAAGACTTGTAATGTCTTATTTCATTGGGAGTTACCTTCACCAAGAGGCCTTGAGGGCCTGTATCTCTCAATAATGGCAAATATAATATCCTTTAATGCAATACTGGAAATATTGCCTCATTTTGAGCTCAATTTCTTCAGTCTTAAAGGGAATATTGGATCTCAACCATATCATAAAATTATGTCCAAGGACTAAATTCCCAGGGGCACAGCCAGACCTCAATGCCAATCCTGGTAGCATGAAGTTGTTTGTATTTTCATGTCCTGGTAGGATGTAGAGTATTGCTACAGGGTGAAGATCTGGACTAGTACAGGTATTATTGTGTCACTTAATCGATTTATCTGTGATGTTTGTGATGTTTTTGAACTTTGATAATACAGCTGTATATGGTGGAAACAAAGAACCTGTGTCTGTGTTTGCATGGTGAGCTAAGAATTTAAATTCTGCCTGAAAAATATAAATCTTCCTAAAATTGGATGTGATGTTGGAAAGTTGTGATTTGTTGAAAATATGTCCATAAACACATTAAGAGTTACTTTTGAGTAATTGGATCAAAGGAAATTACATGAAATAGTCATGATTTTTAAATACTGTTTAATATAAAAGCACATTCATTATGCTGATCTCCCTACCAAAGGGAAACAAATATCCCTACTGCTTGTGTTCTGGATTACAATTCTGACAATCAAAAATGGAATTTGTAACATAACTTTATGACCTACACACAATAATGGTGGAATCCGCAGCAATAAAACATTACCCCATACACTGGTATATCTTTGTACTATATATCATGCTGGCAATAGGGTTAGGGTTTGGGTTCGAAAAGATCCAAAGGGAGATAACTGATGCATCCTACAAAAACTTTCAGAATAAATTCCAACCCAGAGTTAGATACAAAGCCTTGAGATAACTCTGGGTCATATTACACATTTGTAACATTGTGTTTATAACACAAACCTACAGCATCCTTTAGGATCAACAATAGAACATATTTATTCTGTAAATCTTCAGAAAATTGAACTCCTTGAAACAGGTTGTGATTTATTTTCAGATTATAACCATAGGAGTTAAAAGATTTTACAAACACATGTTTACAAATATGGGCGTTAAGGTTAGTTTGAGCCCAGGTAAGTGTTTTTGAGCCCAGGTAAGTGTTGTTTGAGCCCAGGTAAGTGTTGTTTGAGCCCAGGTAAGTGTTGTTTGAGCCCAGGTAAGTGTTGTTTGAGCCCATGTATTTGAGGACATACATGTATCTTTGGGCCTATCTATGTGTTAATATGTTATGTTAACATTGTTTGTGCTAGTATTTGTGCCTCGGAGCCCAGTTGGTAGTTTGGCCACAGTAAACAAAGCTTCTGACACAGTAAGGACCTACAGAAAGCTTCTGACACAGTAAGGACCTACAGAAAGCTTCTGACACAGTAAGGACCTACACAAAGCTTCTGACACAGTAAGAACCTACAGAAAGCCTCTGACACAGTAAGGACCTACAGAAAGCCTCTGACACAGTAAGGACCTACACAAAGCCTCTGACACAGTAAGGACCTACACAAAGCCTCTGACACAGTAAGGACCTACACAAAGCTTCTTACACAGTAAGAACCTACAGAAAGCTTCTGACACAGTAAGGACCTACAGAAAGCTTCAGACACAGTAAGGACCTACACAAAGCTTCTGACACAGTAAGGACCTACTGAAAGCTTCTGACACAGTAAGGACCTACACAAAGTTTCTGACACAGTAAGGACCTACAGAAAGCTTCTGATACAGTAAGAACCTACAGAAAGCCTCTGACACAGTGAGGACCTACAGAAAGCTTCTGACACAGTAAGGACCTACATAAAGCCTCTGACACAGTAAGGACCTACACAAAGCTTCTGACACAGTAAGGACCTACAGAAAGCTTCTGACACAGTAAGGACCTACAGAAAGCTTCTGATACAGTTAGGACCTACAGAAAGCCTCTGACACAGTAAGGACCTACAGAAAGCTTCTGACACAGTAAAGACCTACAGAAAGCTTCTGACACAGTAAGGACCTACATAAAGCTTCTGATACAGTAAAGACCTACAGAAAGCCTCTGACACAGCAAGGACCTACAGAAAGCTTGTGACACAGTAAGGACCTACACAAAGCGTCTGACACAGTAAGGACCTCCACAAAGCTTCTGACACAGGAAGGACCTACACAAAGCTTTTGACACAGTAAGGACCTACATAAAGCCTCTGACACAGTAAAGACCTACACAAAGCTTCTGACACAGTAAGGACCTACAGAAATATTCTGACACACAGGACTAGAGTAAGCAGTGACTTACAAAATTATGCCCACAGAGACAGGACATATAAATACACCAATACAGTGACAGGAGGAGTAAAAGGTTGGTGTCTCCTTTAACAGTGTATTGTTTACAAAATAATCACAGATGACTCAATAAAGTGCAATTCATTAACAAAAATCATTAAGTACTTTTAACATGGCCGTTATTAGACTGACGTACATGTACGTCATGCGACACGCTGCCGTTTTCTCCACTTATAGTCTGTTTGCCATTGTTTTGCTGTTCTCCTATTGAATAGTCACTAGTATCTCTGATATGACTACATTGTTTTTGTATACAGCCGTTGGCTTTGGCTGTGTTTCCCTGGAATATTAATTGTTCCTCTACGTTGAGCTGATGTGTGTATCCAAATTTGATGACAATCCACACGCAGAGCTTGCCGAACAACGGGATCATGACAGCCTGGTGGAGCATGGACCAGAGGTGATACCACTGGCCGTAAAATGGATCGGTGTAAGCCGGACAGTTCATGTTATTTAGATTTACAAGTGAAACCTGAAAATAATGAAACAACTTTAAATAAATTGAAACAATAAAACAATGCAGTGTAACATGTCTAACACAAAGCCTTTATAATCTGAACTGGGTAGGCTAGACCTCAATGTACATCATGTTGACCTTTGAACTTAACAAGATCTTGACCTTGGATGTAGAGACCCCTTAGTGGTATATGACACACATGCTTTGCCATCCTACATATATCGATAAAGTTCAGTTTAGTTCTCTTCTGCGAGTCAGAAATTATCAACCAGATGAAAAGTTTGGCCTTTGACCACAATGTGACATTTGGCATAGGGACCATAGTAGCATAGTGGTATGTGAAATATCGCCTTACCGTCCTACAAATAACACTCAAATTTCATTTCGCTATCTTCAGTTAGTCATAGTCATAACTTATAGCCATATATGGATGGACCAAGTGGTGATTATATAATATATATGCCTCAGGAATTACGTAAAATAAAATAAAAATGTGTGTGTTTGTTTGTTTGTTTGTTTGTTTGTTTGGGGGGGGGGGAGGTGCATAAAAAGCACTTTCAAAATAACGAAACTGCTATATATGGACAGGTTGGCAGTATTATTAAGGTAAAACGCACATCAACACTATACTTACATAGGCTAATAACTGAAGTGGTATAAAATGGTATATATACTGCAGGCTGGTAGCTATAAACACCTCAACACTATACTTACATAGGCTAATAACTGAAGTGGTATAAAATTGTTTTTATACTGCAGGCCGGTAGCTATAAACACCTCGACACTATACTTACATAGGCTATATATAACTGAAGTGGTATAAAATGGTATATATACTGCAGGCTGGTAGCTATAAACACCTCAACACTATACTTACATAGGCTAATAACTGAAGTGGTATAAAATGGTATATATACTGCAGGCCGGTAGCTATAAACACCTCGACACTATACTTACATAGGCTAATAACTGAAGTGGTATAAAATGGTATATATACTGCAGGCCGGTAGCTATAAAAGACCAGTTGACATCACGGAAAGGTTCCGCTGTGTATACCCCTGAAACATAAACATTACAATACACTGTAACAAAATAAGATAACTAAGTGAAGAATTTTAACTTGATCATTTATCAATATGACTTTACATACCACATAAAGTACTTCAAGCCATAGTTTCATGAATACTGAATACTGAATTATTATTATTATTTGTATATGAAATCAAATTGTATGTATAAATGTCTGAATGGAAACACATCCAATACATTATTCTGATATACTGATAAATACAAATATTTGAATCTTAACACATCTAAATTGATTGGATGTTTTGAACGTACATGTAATTCAAATCATAATACAAAATATAGTTACTGCTTTAAAACAAATTTGTTTTGATTTGTTCTGTCACCTATATCCTATCATCAGTATGTATAGGTCTTTCTCTTATACCTATCTGACAGACCTGTCCATGGTAAGGAAGGGGTGTGAGATTACAACACTCTTTCATGCACAGGGGTGTAGGAGGGTTTTACCAAATTTGAAAACCCCTCGGGTGGAATTTCCCTATCCTACAACCTTGGGCATGAAAGAGTATTTTTCTCTCATTTCAACCACCAGAATATAAGCTCAGAAACCATGAAAATGCGTTTGGACTTGCCACCATTTTGAAAATATCAATTTTTCCTTTGAAATTTTTAGACGAGAACGAATTAGCCAGCCAAATTAAGCATATCCCATATTTGGAAACAATGTTTATGCATAAAAATTAATCTCATCTTTCTAACGTGTACGGTATATATAAAGTAAAAGGTTTAAATTTCATCATGTCGCCTTTTCCCCATTGCGGCATCGGAGAGTTCCAAAATCGTGATGTCACGTCATTGTTGAGCCATTGTGACGTCACGTCACGTGAAATGGGGTGTAAAATAGAAATTTCCTACACCCCTTTCTTACTCTGGACAGCTCTATCTTACACACAGGGAAATGCCCAGGGGTGTAGGATAGGGAAATTCCACTATCTTGATTTTAAAATTGGTGTAAAACCCTCCACAGAATCTTGGGTTTTACCCAATTTGTATACCCCTTGGGTGGAATTTCCCTTTCCTACACCCCTGGGTATGAATGAGTCTTATCATATACTATACAAAAATAATCACCGTGGCATGGCATTGTCATTATATAACTCTACCACATCCAGGTGGTACTCATTAAGCCATCCTAGGCTAATGGTAGGCTATGTTTATAAACCCTCCTTGGACAGATCGCTGTTCTATTCATGGAAAAGCCTATACAATAAAAACCTTTTTAAAACTTAATGCTGAATAATGGTTAAGGGTTACCGTAGTGGAATTTTCTACGAGATAATCAGACTCCAAAAATGTCAAAGATAAGCAATGATTTGCTTTAAGTTGGCATTCATCTATAGGCAGGCAATATGAACTGAAAACTGTTTAATCCTTAAATGATCAGTATGAAGTATGCTAATCTGATTTTGTATATAGCTTTTGGTCTGTCACTTACCCCGTATCATTAGTAGGTATATAGTTTTTGGTCTGTCACTTACCTCCTATCATTAGTAGGTATATAGTTTTTGGTCTGTCACTTACCTCCTATCATTAGTAGGTATATAGTTTTTGGTCTGTCACTTACCTCCTATCATTAGTAGGTATATAGTTTTTGGTCTGTCACTTACCCCCTATCATTAGTAGGTATATAGTTTTTGGTCTGTCACTTACCCCCTATCATTAGTAGGTATATAGTTTTTGGTCTGTCACTTACCCCCTATCATTAGTAGGTATATAGTTTTTGGTCTGTCACTTACCCCCTATCATTAGTAGGTATATAGTTTTTGGTCTGTCACTTACCCCCTATCATTAGTAGGTATATAGTTTTTGGTCTGTCACTTACCCCCTATCATTAGTAGGTATATAGTTTTTGGTCTGTCACTTACCCCCTATCATTAGTAGGTATATAGTTTTTGGTCTGTCACTTACCCCCTATCATTAGTAGGTATATAGTTTTTGGTCTGTCACTTACCCCCTATCATTAGTAGGTATATAGTTTTTGGTCTGTCACTTACCCCCTATCATTAGTAGGTATATAGTTTTTGGTCTGTCACTTACCCCCTATCATTAGTAGGTATATAGTTTTTGGTCTGTCACTTACCCCCTATCATTAGTAGGTATATAGTTTTTGGTCTGTCACTTACCCCCTATCATTAGTAGGTATATAGTTTTTGGTCTGTCACTTACCCCCTATCATTAGTAGGTATATAGTTTTTGGTCTGTCACTTACCCCCTATCATTAGTAGGTATATAGTTTTTGGTCTGTCACTTACCCCCTATCATTAGTAGGTATATAGTTTTTGGTCTGTCACTTACCCCCTATCATTAGTAGGTATATAGTTTTTGGTCTGTCACTTACCCCCTATCATTAGTAGGTATATAGTTTTTGGTCTGTCACTTACCCCCTATCATTAGTAGGTATATAGTTTTTGGTCTGTCACTTACCCCCTATCATTAGTAGGTATATAGTTTTTGGTCTGTCACTTACCCCCTATCATTAGTAGGTATATAGTTTTTGGTCTGTCACTTACCCCCTATCATTAGTAGGTATATAGTTTTTGGTCTGTCACTTACCCCCTATCATTAGTAGGTATATAGTTTTTGGTCTGTCACTTACCCCCTATCATTAGTAGGTATATAGTATTTGGTCTGTCACTTACCCCCTATCATTAGTAGGTATATAGTTGTTGGTCTGTCACTTACCTCCTATTATTAGTAGGTATATAGTTGTTGGTCTGTCACTTACCCCCTATCATTAGTTGGTATATAGTTTTTGGTCTGTCACTTACCTCCTATCATTAGTTGGTATATAGTTTTTGGTCTGTCACTTACCTCCAATCATTGGTCTGTCATTAACCTCCTATCATTAGTAGGTATATAGTTTTTGGTCTGTCACTTACCCCCTATCATTAGTAGGTATATAGTTTTTGGTTTGTCACTTACCTCCTATCTTTAGTAGGTATATAGTTGTTGGTCTGTCACTTACCTCCTATCATTAGTAGGTATATAGTTTTTGGTCTGTCCCTTACCTCCTATCATTAGTAGGTATATAGTTTTTGGTCTGCCACTTACCTCCTATCATTAGTAGGTATATAGTTTTTGGTCTGTCCCTTACCTCCTATCATTAGTAGGTATATAGTTGTTGGTCTGTCACTTATCCTGTATCATTAGTAGGGATATAGTTTTTGGTCTGTCACTTACCTCCTATCATTAGTAGGTATATAGTTTTTGGTCTGTCACTTACCCCCTATCATTAGTAGGTATATAGTTTTTGGTCTGTCACTTATCCTGTATCATTAGTAGGTATATAGTTTTTGGTCTGTCACTTACCTCCTATCGTTAGTAAGTATATGGGGATGACCAGCATCAAGGTATGTTGTATATAGTAGGTGTGTACTTCAAACGGTAACTGAAATGACATAAAACAAAAATTTCAATGAATAATTTCCATGAGGTTCATGTTTTATCTATCTTTATTCTCCCTGATTATGTTGCAGAATTGGACTTGGTTGATCTTCAGCAAACAGGTAGCCATTTCCTGTTACAATTAATTCCTTGACCTATATGAGGTATTTTACAAACTTGTGTAGAAATTACTGGGAAGCTATCATGCAAAATCTCAACCAGAAATATATTAATGTCGGAAAACCAGTCCTAAATTTTAAATTACCAAGTTCTGCTTTAATCATGCTTCAAATAAATCATTCTTAAAGTGTCAATTTGAAATTGGGAAAAATAACCAAAACAATAATTAATGTTTCTTCTTTTTAAAACTCTTAAATATATGAATATGTACAAGATCATTGGTTTAGTGATTGACTCCCCTAAAACATTAGTAGTAGTAGTCGTGTGATAATTACATGAATGTTTTATACTGTATAGTATCTATAGGTCACCTTCAAATGATCTCTTTGGTCGCTTTTGTTCTTGGATGCTTTCCATTAGTTGAATTTTCATATTGTCCATTAACCTTGTGTATTTTGTAACTTTTGAAAATTAACAGCTGAATGAGATAAATATGATAAACTAAAGTCATTGGAGAACCTCTGTATCAAAATAGGAGATTGATGAATTATAACGATTATTTAAGCTATCAGTATAGTTTCTCAAAACCTAATATGTCTAATCAGAATATAAATACACCCAATATAACTAGGAGTTCCTCTTCACACCTACCCATTCACACATTTTTTGGACTTGTACATAAAGTTTACACTGATAGAGTTGAGTGATAAATATAAACCATTGATTCATTCCATGATTATAACATCCAAGTTGAACAATATACAGGCTTTTAAAACATTTCTATTACAACACAATCAAAGTGTACCCACACTGAGATTGTATTTGAAGTCTCAGCCAACAAAACAATGCTGGTAGTAGCTGATGATGGGACTTACAAGAACTCATCCAAATTAAATGGATGTTTTCAGTCAAGTGCCTTACTCTTTATCTGTGACACTCACTAGTAAAAACCGTCTTACAAAGATACAATGTACTGTATCCCGCACATAGAACACTCTACTGGGACTACATTGGTTTTTGAAACAGAAAATTTCTGGATAAAATACCACAGAAATAGTCATTAACAACTACAGGTCTAAAAGACTGCTAAGTCAAAAATAAACACGAGGTAATGACAACTTACACCAGAATCTCTATAAAGTCTTCAATTTGAATAAAGGGCATTACACATGTATATGTATGGTTCCAACCTTTAGTATTAAACTGACACAAGTGTTCCAATAATAATTAGTAACATTTTAACACAAAATTATAAAGTTCACCACTCATACAGAGGAGATGTAAATGATGACACAATGACAAGTACACAGTGATTGTGAAAACAACTCGCCAGACCTTGTCTTACATGATCTAGAAATTGATGAAATGTGTTCAATGTCACCTTATCATAGACATTTGTAAAGAGAACAATATCTACCAAGTTTAATTAAAATCTACTGAAAACTAAACCCTGTAGACTGGTAACAGTAGTCTTGTTGATACCAAACTGTATCTACTGAACACTAAACCCTGTAGACTGGTAACAGTAGTCTTGTTGATACCAAACTGTATCTACTGAACACTAAACCCTGTAGACTGGTAACAGTAGTCTTGTTGATACCAAACTGTATCTACTGAACACTAAACCCTGTAGACTGGTAACAGTAGTCTTGTTGATACCAAACTGTATCTACTGAACACTAAACCCTGTAGACTGGTAACAGTAGTCTTGTTGATACCAAACTGTATCTACTGAACACTAAACCCTGTAGACTGGTAACAGTAGTCTTGTTGATACCAAACTGTATCTACTGAACACTAAACCCTGTAGACTGGTAACAGTAGTCTTGTTGATACCAAACTGTATCTACTGAACACTAAACCCTGTAGACTGGTAACAGTAGTCTTGTTGATACCAAACTGTATCTACTGAACACTAAACCCTGTAGACTGGTAACAGTAGTCTTGTTGATACCAAACTGTATCTACTGAACACTAAACCCTGTAGACTGGTAACAGTAGTCTTGTTGATACCAAACTGTATCTACTGAACACTAAACCCTGTAGACTGGTAACAGTAGTCTTGTTGATACCAAACTGTATCTACTGAACACTAAACCCTGTAGACTGGTAACAGTAGTCTTGTTGATACCAAACTGTATCTACTGAACACTAAACCCTGTAGACTGGTAACAGTAGTCTTGTTGATACCAAACTGTATCTACTGAACACTAAACCCTGTAGACTGGTAACAGTAGTCTTGTTGATACCAAACTGTATCTACTGAACACTAAACCCTGTAGACTGGTAACAGTAGTCTTGTTGATACCAAACTGTATCTACTGAACACTAAACCCTGTAGACTGGTAACAGTAGTCTTGTTGATACCAAACTGTATCTACTGAACACTAAACCCTGTAGACTGGTAACAGTAGTCTTGTTGATACCAAACTGTATCTACTGAACACTAAACCCTGTAGACTGGTAACAGTAGTCTTGTTGATACCAAACTGTATCTACTGAACACTAAACCCTGTAGACTGGTAACAGTAGTCTTGTTGATACCAAACTGTATCTACTGAACACTAAACCCTGTAGACTGGTAACAGTAGTCTTGTTGATACCAAACTGTATCTACTGAACACTAAACCCTGTAGACTGGTAACAGTAGTCTTGTTGATACCAAACTGTATCTACTGAACACTAAACCCTGTAGACTGGTAACAGTAGTCTTGTTGACACCAAACACCAAAGCTCTATATACATTCATCAATTTTAATAGCTTTCATAACATTGCAACTTGGTTAAAAGCAATATTCCTCGTTACAGAGATGCACCGATTTATTTACTGAATGTTGTTTACTCATTCACCCATACATAACTAAACTGGACTTGCCCAGTCTTTGATTTGGTAAGGTTCAAATGTGACTTTAGGGGTGAATGGGTTAAGGTCATTTTTGGCAGTTGCATGTACGGGGGGGATCCTTAAATGTTCTATTACAAAGAGTCATACAATATTTGGTTACTGTAGCTCATTAGTGAAATTTTTCTTGTATCTCGTAGACTAAGAAGAATCTAAACATCACAGACCGAATCAAGTGAGAATAAGATGAAAACAATCAAAACTAAATTGGCAGATGAGAATTACCCACATACATATGTTTTATGGTTTCAACAAATTTGACATAAATGAGTATATACAGCCTCCAAACCTGTGGCACATTTGGTTCTAAACAGTCTTATTTATTGAATGCATCATTGATTTGTTTCCCATTTAAACTGAATCCAGATCAGACAATGAAATGACCCTTGACCTCTGGTGTTGTATACAGACCAAGAGGTTCAAGGGCCTTAGCGGACACCTGAGTTATATTATAGGTACTGGTAGCTTTATTTCATTGTTTAGATGTGATGTGGAAATCAGTATGTAAACTAATTATAAGAGAAATACAATACTTGTCATGTCATGAAAGGATAAGAATTTGAAAATATTGGTAAATGTTCCCTTCGGGGCCCTAGCTGCCCTAGCCCCTGGGGATGGGGCAGGAATCTCAATTTTACAAAGTAATACTTTCATTCACCAAAGTTGATTCTGACTAGGTTTGAGTAATTTTCTGCTGAAAATGGATAAAATATAGCCAAAAGTGTTATTTCCCTATATAAACTATTGTAAACTTTACTCCCTCCCCAAGAGAGAACGGATAGCTCGGGGTCCTGAAATTTACAATTTAAATAAAGCCCCTGATGATTTTCTTTCCATGCAGAGAAAATGTCTGTAGTACCTCTGAGTCTGGAGAAGAAATTTTTGGAAATATTGGTTAATTTTCCCTTTGGGGCCCCGCCCTGGCCCCAGGGGTTGGGGTAGGAATCTCAATTTAACAATTTGAAACCATCTTCCTCCAAGAATAATTCTCACCAAGTAAAAATAATTTCCTACAGAAAGTTGTCAAAATATACCTAAAAGTGTTATTTCCCTATATAAACTATAGTAAACTTTACCCCCTCCCCAACAAGGGAAAACAAATAGCTCGGTGGTCCTGAAATTTACAATTAAAGTAAAGCCCCCGATAATGTTAGTTCCATGCAGAGAAAATGACTGTAGTACCTCCGAGTCTGGAGAAGATTTTTTTTGAAATATTGGTTAATTTTCCCTTTGGGGCTCCGCCCTGGCCCCAGGGGTTGGGTTAGGAATCCCAATTTTACAATTTTGTAGCCTCATCTACCAAGGATGATTCTGACCAAGTTTGAAAAAAATCCATCCACTGGTTCTTGAGAAGTTGAAAATGTAAAAAGTTTACGCATGACGCACAACGACGGACAGAAAGCGATTAGAATAAGTCACTTCAGCAAAGCTTAGGTGACCTAAAAAGGCACATGTATTAGAGCTTAACATACACTACCTAGTTTTCCTAGACTTTATTATCAGTTTTACAGCCGTTGCAATTTAGAATATAGTCTTTTTTTCTTTACTACCGTTATATGATTTTGAAAAATGTAAAAGGCTTTTCATATTTCTTAACTTATAGTACATTGCAAAAAGAAATTTGCACTTTAACCATTTCTATGAAATTCTATGAACACCATAAAAGGATTAAGGAAATTTGATAAAATAACTATGCTTTATAATGACAGGTCAATGATGTGGGCACAAAATCAATTTCAATAAATATTATATGTTATATGGTTATGATTCCTCATCAACTGGGAGTTCTCTCTGGGCCAGGCAGCTGTTGTCAGACTCTGATTGACATGGCAAGCTTATAGAGGTAGAATAACTTGAGTGGTATGTGGTATGACCTGCTTGTGTAACGTCATTGATCACCAACGCTAGTTAACGAGAAGCTCAGGTCTCTTAATAGCTCACCTGCTCCCAACAGCTAGTAACTGCTACGTCCTATATGATTA